TCTGGTCCAGCAGACTTGCCTGAGTGAAGTCTCCTCATTTGCATCTCAACCTGGTATTGAGTGAAGGAGTGTAGTTAGTACGACACAGAGTACATAACAGCGCGATGTTACGCTGAATTCGTTGATAAAGATTAGGCTGGAGATAAGGAAGAGCGGGGGAGGTGTGATGGAAGCGAGGAGACAGGCGCCGGGGGTCGCCACGGATGGATCTGTGATCATTTTAGAGTGGCATACATGTCTCACAAAAATAAAATATTTGGAATGCAGGTAGCGGTGGAAAAAGATCAAATTACATCATATTTTATAAGGATGCTATGTGTTTTCATTCATATTTGTTGGAGAGGTTATGAGCAGATCAGTCTACTCTTCATTTTATCAGATGCAATTGATCACAGCTTGTGAATTTTCGTTTTACCCACTTAAGTAAGCTTTTAGATCAGGGGTGTCAAACGTACGGCCCGCGGGCCGGATCAGGCCCGCAAATGGGTTTAATCCGGCCTGTGAGATGATTTTGTAAAGTATAAAAATGAGCAGCAATTTTTAAATAAAGAAACTGCTGTTCCAATTGTGTCCATTGGATGGCGCAATAGCAATTGTAAGCTACTTTGTTTTGCCCGCAAAATTTAAACCTGATGTGCAATATGTCTCTGTCAAAAAAGAGAAAAGTGGATGCAGAGTGTTCCAAAAAAAATGGTCATCCTCCTATTTATTCACGGAAGTGAATGGGAAAGCTGTATGTTTGGTGTGTTCCCAGCATGTTGCAGTGCTGAAAGAATATAACCTCCGTCGCCACTATGTGAGTCTTCATGCCGACAAATATGACAACTTTCAAGGACAGCGGAGAAGAGAGAAGGTGAATGAACTGTTGGCGGGTCTGAAGAAACAGCAGTCTGTCTTTACGCACAGCCGAGACATCAGTGATGCTGCAGTGAAAGCTAGCTACCTCATTGCTAACGACATTGCACTAGCTTCAAAACCATTTAGTGAGGGTGAATTTGTAAAAGCATGTATGATGAAGGCATCGGAGATTGTGTGCCCTGAAAAGCGCCAGTCCTTTGCAAATATCAGCCTGACAAGAAACACAGTTGCAGACAGGATTTCTGATCTTTCAGCGGACTTGGACAGCCAGTTGAAGCCAAAAATAAAGTCATTTATTGTGTTTTCAGTTACAATTGATGAAGGCACGGACATTACAGATGTTGCACAACTGGCAATTTTCATCCGCGGAGTTGATGACACATTGACCGTCACCGAGGAGTTCGTGGAGTTGGTACCGATGACAGATACAACGACCGCAGCTGTCGGCGCGCTGGACAGGGTCGGAGTGGACTGGTCCCGCGCTGTCAGCCTGGTGCGCCCTCAATGATCGGGAAGAAAGCAGGCATTGTAAAAAAGTTCAGAGATAAAGTGCAATCTGCAAATGGAGGACGTGATTTTTGGACTTTTCACTGTATTTTGTAACCAGGAGGCTTTGTGTTACAAGTCACTGAAAATGGATAACGTCATGAAGGTGGTCATCCAAACTGTTAATTTCATCCAGAAGCCTCAATCACCATCAGTTTGACAGTCTTCTCAGAGAGAAAGACCACATCTATGGCCTGCGTTACCACACTGAGGTAAGATGGTTGAGCCGAGGTGCTGTGCTGAGGCGTTTCTTTGATTTACGAGAAGAAATTGAACAGTTTATGGAAGAAAAGGGCAAACCAGTGTTAGAATTTCATTC